TACTTTCCAGGAGTAGCAGTTATGATCCTTGTCGTTGCTAATGGAAAACGATATATGGGTCCCTATGCAGTTCTGCTGAGAACTTGGTACTAATTCCGGAGAAATGAGGGTGCCTTCAAATCATGAGGCCAACATCCGTTCCATCTCATCACATTCTTGTTCTCAGTGACCATTCCGCGCACTGATTAGTCTCCCTGGAAATCTTCAAACTTAACGCAATAACTGCACAAAACTTCTGGCTACTTTGTAAGCATAGGTTCCCGTCGATACATCTGGTTTAAGGCCTACTTTGACGCCGGCAACGATTAAGAGCACCACAGACTTGCATCTAGTCAAATTTCTCTCCCTCGGAACGACTGCCGCCCCTTATACTCTCGCTACCGGGGAGAATCCTCTAAACGATTCAAATACAAGCACCCTCATTACAAACGACCTCACCTCCAGCATTGCAGCCTCAATTGCAACCTGTCCACATTGTAATTGTGCTTTCACAGCACGCACTGGGTTCGAAGATCACTCACAATTCTCTCTACCTGAGACTGTAAAGCAAGCTTACAGAGCTCCGTCATACACCAGCCGCAATGACCTCAATTTTCTGCACTGCACACGCACGTCACATGTTGTAAACCACCCCAGGCTAAATTCTATCACAGCATATCATTCTATAGAAACGCATTTCACTAGAGCCCATCTCACACCCTTTACCATAGGCACGAACTGGGCCTTTCCTTGGTGACGATAACATTCCAATTGTTTTAGACTTTTCCCCTGCTAACAATTGTTGTTTTTAACTGGTAGGTTTTAGATTAATCGGAAGAAGTGTTTCAAAAATACACCCGTAAAAATATTCGGTTCTACGAACATGGTACGGCTTCCCCAGACGCACTTGATTTTTGTATAACTTCCTTCTAACAAAAACATTTACTGAAGTGACTTCACAGCTCACACAATGGTGTTCTGTACATGGCTTTAGAGGGAATTGTACGGATATTTGAAAAATTTTAGAATAAAGCCGATGTTTCATCATTTACCTTTGTGCATTTGGAAAATGTACATGAATACGACTAATTAGGGTGATTTATGCAAAGGTTTAATTGACTTTACTTTTCATCAGATCAATGGCGTGAATATACGATGATAAACAGTTAATTCCTCCCCAATTTGTATTTTAATTCAAATAGTCTTACTGTCTTTCTATGCACCATTTTTCGTATATTTTCCGATTCCAAAACCATCATGGAAGCGTACAGTATTTTCAAACTAACTGCAGTAGGAAACCGTATGTTTTCTTGGGTTCTGCACGAAAATTAAGATTTGTAGTTAAATATCATGAAATATTATTTTTCAGGTGTGGTTTTCCATTTACTCGTATATCTAGAAACATTGTTGTCATTTCAGAAGCAATCTCGGGATTTATCATAAGTTGTATGCTTTACATTTTACCTAACTGTCAGTTGAGCGGACTTCTGATATTCATGTCTTACTTTCCTTCCTCCCACTTGTTTTCGAAGCTGGTGAAGTTGGCCTATAACTAAACGGGTGACGTCTTTGCATTATGATCCAGTTTTATGGTGCTTTGCCTGCACATTAAGAACTTTAACGCTTACTCGGTCGGTAATCAATTAATCATTGAAAGTGACTACCTAGGCAAAGTAGTTTGTTACAGAAAACGTATATATTATCTCTGAAGGGTAGGATCTACACAATCTGGGCACTTCTTAAGCTATTTTAACCATTCTGTGTCAAAATAATGCTAAAAGATTCTTTGAGCTTAGAACTGCAGGTCTAAAATATACCAAATGTTTAACTTGTTCAGTTCAGTTTAGTTTTATTAGGGAAATATAGGTAAATACCTTTGAA